TTGATTTTTTCCCTGAGCTATCTTAAAGGGCAGAGTACCTATACACTCAATAGAGAGATATCTCATTAATTCTGTAAATTAATGACAGAAGATGAGAGAAGTACACTTACCTGCTCTTGAAGGCCATTGCAAGTACGGGCTAGGAGTTCTATTGTCAAAAGTTCAAGCTCCTTTTCAGAGAATGTAACTGAGCTGGTATCACAGAGATGTGAAACCAACCAGTTATTATAGAGCCACTACTCAGAGGAGAATGCTACAGAGACTTGTTTGGGATTGTGTTGGGATGAGAAGGCTCCTAAAACTCCTCATTTCCACTTTCATTCAGCAGCCAAATTTCCACTCCCTCTGTCACGCCCATGTCTAAACCATCTGTTGTTTTAAAAACCATTCCTATTATAGGGACCCTTAGGAAACTATTGGGAGACATCCCTCTCCCCACAAACTTGTCCACACTGTGTTTTAGAGCAGAGCTGTCACTGGTCAAATCTCATTCAGCTGCCTTCAGAAAAGTGTCAGCATTTCAGTGAGCATTGAGAGCGTAGTGAAGCCTCACATCCCTTCCTTCACATTCCAGCAGAATTACTCTTCTGCTTGCCTTATTGTTCTTCCATGAACCTGCCTGATCATGGAGCCAGGCACTGTTGTAGTGAGCACAGAAAGGGTTAACATTCAGGGTCTTCTCATGAGTCAGTAATAATGCAGAGGGCCTGGGTGCCCTGGTAAATATCAGGACTTAACAGTCCAAAGACTGTACAAACAGTGAGGGACAGTACACGCCTGTCAAGCCTGAAATCTAAATATACAGAGCAAACGCAGGTTGAGCTCTCATCCCCACTTGGCAGGTGGGAGAATGTGCCACCTCCCCTCTCTCCACCCCCGTGCTGTCCTGCCTGTGCTGCAGAGATGTGGGGCCCCGAAGCCCTGGGCACAGCTGGCCTTGGGCACAAGAGGAACTGCAGGTGCGGTACCAGCCCAACTGCAGTAAGCTGCCGTAGGAGTGCCTTCACAGGGGCACCCACAGGGACTTCTCCTCCTGCTGATACATGACATGATTCACACTCTGCACTTGCGTGACGTGTCACACACCTTTGAACTCACCCATGTTGTGTTTAACTCTGGAAGCAGTCCAGCTTCCTCAGGCCCACGAGTCACCAGGAGTGACGAGCTTATTACCTTACCACAGCACCACACCACATGGGGTCACACTCAAGCCTGGCCTCACGTGCAACTTCCTCATGTCTTCCCCATTCTTTCAGGGCTGGACCAGCTGCCTCCCAGTTAGGTCTGGCCACTACCAGCCTAGCAGACTATTTTGCCAGAAAGTGACAAGTCAGAAAATTCAGCAGAAACTGCAGTCATATAAATGAAGCGACTGAGAAACAGAACCAGGCTGAAAGCATTTACCTGTGGGGACTTGGCAGTACTGTTCAACCCCGAAGGCAGACCCATATCAGTTGCTCTGAAGATAGATCAGGAAGACAACTTAACCTGCTGAATAATTAGGGTTATCCAAGTATAACTTCAGTATTTCTTCTCAGAGGATAAAAACATTACTGCTGACAGTTGAGATGCCCTTAAAGACAGAAAATTAAATTAACAGTCAGGCTGCCATATCTCTTTCTCTGGGATTTCCCAGATGGAAATATGTGTGAATGAGCTCCATAGACCATGTGTTATAAATGCCACATTTCAGTAAGCTTCCAGGCTGACTGCACATACTCTGTACAAAAGATCTGTGGATGTTCAGTAAATCTGAGAGCTTGGGAACAGGCTTACTGTGTATGCGTGACTCCATTGAATATTGTGAGCATGGCAAATCCAGAATTCTGGATGTTTCAGATAGATCATGCTGCTAATTCACAAAAGCAGAAAAGCACTGTCTAAAATCACCAGGACTAGGGCGGCTGTGCACATAGTGGATAGCTAATCTATGCACACAGGATTGCTGAGGTTTGCAGAAACTTCAGGGTCCCTATAGACCAATATATATAGACTTTCACAGCAGGTTGCCCAGGACCATTTCCAGAGGATTTTGAATATCTCCAAGGATCTACACACACATACATTGTAGAAACATTAGGGTGGTGAAGCACTGGAACAGGCTGACCAGAGAAGTTTGTGGATGCCTCATGCCCAGAGCTGTTCAAGGTTGGATGGAGCCCTGGGCAGCCTGATCCAGTGGGTAGGAACCTTGCCCATGGCAGGGGGTTTGGAACTAGATGATCTTTAGGATCCCTTCCAACAGGAGACATTCTGTGATTTTATGAGGCTGGATTCCCAGGTTTGTGGCCACTCAGTCAAGGATCTACCACACAGTCACTCCATGGGGCTGCTCAATGGCCCAGAACCCCAGAGCAGGGTAAAACCTGAAGCTCTGCATGCACAGCACATCTGCAAGGGCATTCTCAGGATCATCCAGATGCGTGGAGCTCTGTGCTAACTGCCCTGTTAACAAGTGCTTGCTTTTGGCTGCTTCGCCTTTGGCAGACAAACACTTGCCTTTTCTTACAGAGCCTGTGCCTGGTGCCATTATTTGAAAGGTTGTGCTTGTTTACACTAGTCCATCAATAATTAGACGAGGAGACCATGTAATGCGAATTCTATGCTATGTGTTACGCCATTTTACAGATGGTTGTGTGACTTTATAATTTTTAAGGGAAAAATGCAGCAAGTTACATATAAATGAGGCCTGGCTTAGCGCTACAGCATCCACAGAGGACAGAGGAGCGGCAAGTAACCCAGGCAGCCCTCCTCTTGGCTGTGAAGGAATCAGCCAGGGCAGCGTGACAGGTGCAGTGGTGAGGCGGCAGTGATGTTCCGCTGTTTCAGTGTTTCATTAGCACAGCCCAGGTGTGGCCCATCCCGAGTGCTCAGCACAGCACACAGGCACTTCCCCTGGCCCCTGCGCCCAGCCTTCCCCTCCCGAGGCCCCAGGGCTGGCTCCCTGCCCTGTGCTGGTGCCGCCTGGTAGCCCCAGGCCAGCACAAGCCCTGCTGGGGAATTCAGTAAGAAGCATGAGCGTTGGAAGATCCAAGAAAGACAGGGAAACATCTAGGAAAGTAAAGCTCACTTAACCTATGGCCAAACTCCTGGAATGATTTCCTAAGGGGCCCATATAACACCACAACATCAGTTCCTATACACATACATGAACAGACAGTGGTACTGATTTACCTGCTACAGTGCAACTTGTGATGAAGTGCAACAGCTTGGCAGGATTTTTAGGACTTGAACCTGCCTTGAACAATGAGGGATCCACAATTAAGATTACATTATGGTTTTTCATAAGAGAGTGGAAGGCTATGTGCTCACCTCACACACAAGACAAACCATCACTGATGGAGACGGAGAAGGACTTTTTCCAAGAGCAGCATCAGATGGAAAATTCACATTCACTGTGTGCTATCCTTGCAGGCAGGAATGGGACAGGAGGTATTTCAAAACCAGACGTGGCTACTGAAAGGCCACACCACTCAATGCTATCTTCAGCTGCTTCAGCGGACGAGCAGGTACCAAGCTAAGCTCACCCGCTGGAGAAACCTCCCTGCCCTCCATTCTTCCTTCCAGACTAGAGATACCTCCCAGGATTAGGTCACCCCTCTGCTTTGGCTGCAGAGCTGGATTGCCAGCCATGGGTGGATGTGCAATTTGTCACATTTAAATGTCTAAGACATTAGCTCTACAAACACCCCAGGGCATGGCTACAAATGCACAGAGTGTAAATGTGAAAAAAGAAGTTCAATAAGTAGAATAACAGCATCTCAGGTGAAGCACTCCTAAAAGTAGGTCATAACTACTCCCTGAAAGTGGGCTAATATGGCTTCTCATTCTTTTTACTTTATAATGTCTTTTGTTATTTAATGTTTGTTTCAATGTTATTCACGTTGGTTGCTGGTACGCTATCTGCTGAAGATATATCTGTAAAGAGTAAAAATTCAAGTCAAAAAATCCAAGAAAAAGGGCAGGTGTGATTGCATGTCTCCAGAAGATCTACTTCAACTACACAAGCAGTTAAAGCAAAGGGACTTAATGTACTGTGACCATAGAGAAAACTTGTTCCACCACCCACCTTGGGGTATACTGGCTGTCATTCTGATTTTTTACAAATTTCTTCTCTCTTTGGTGATAAAATGCTGCTGTCACCAGAATGTAGTAACATGGACCTCCAGATACAGAGAGTTAAATTCGAAGCCAGTCTCAGAGAAACATAATAGAGTACCAGCAGCTGATGATGACTGAAAACATACTATAAACCTGTTTTAAACTTTTTCAAAGGAACAACAAGCAAAAAAAACCAAAAAAGGATCTATTTTAAAGGTTCGTGTTCATGCTTTCCCTTACTTAGATAATATGAATGGCCAAAGAGCTAATTTTGCTGGGTAAACTGTGTATGCAACATGAGGCTCTTGTCCAGCTGGCTGTTAACCAGCTTTCAAGGGAGGAATTGTGGCCCTTCTTCCTCTTGCAGAACTGGGAACTAATATGGTGCCGTGGCTGTAGCTCTTCAAAGAAAAATCTTAGGGAATCCAGAAAAAGTCCAGAATAAAGAAGCCTTCAGGTTCTTTTTGGGCACAGGGCTGAGAAATTCAGTTCAGTTGTCTGGTCTTTTTGCTGTACGCCTATCTGTACCCATCTGCTCCTCCTCACCCTGAGCACAGCCCTGACAGCTTCTCCCCCGCACAGCCACCAGTAGATGCCCTGCACCCACCCCCAGACTCTGGCCCTCTGGAAACAGGAGTGATGGAGCTGGCCACATGTGCACACTGCCACGTAACCATGCAATCACTTTTTTTTTTTAATCTCAGACCTGGTGCAATCCAATTTACCCTATTACATCACTTCTGTTCACATTCAATGTTCATTGTGAAACCATCTCAAGACAGGAAAAACGAGATAACTAGGGAAGAGCTGTTCTCCAGAGATTGCCACAAGTGACACCTGTGAGACATCAGTGATGTATGCTTTATTTGAGTTACAGTCAAGAAATTAGCACAACATCCAAAACATCCCAAAATTTCCTAAGCATACCATCATTTTTTACAGCTATGCAGTCCAAAGCATAAAAATATACTTCTCATTAGTTTGAATTCATACAATGCACACTGAGAATGCAAAGCAAGACACATGACACACACATCCACCACCCTTGGGGAAATCACAAATAACAAGATTTTTAAAAAAAACCACCCTCAACACTACGTTTTGGAAGAAATTGACTGTACAACATAGGAAGGCTTAAACAATGCACAGAAGTGATGGGCTCACCTGCTGAGTTATATAGATATAGTCAAAATCAGTAGTCTCAAAGATAAAGAAAGATGATACTAAAACTCCTCCAGCTGTTACTGGAAAAGAAAAAGAAATTAAGCAAGTTTCTTTTCAACAACTCTGACCCTAACCTTGGGCCATCCCTTCAATCATGTCTGTCCTCAAACCATTATCTCCCCACAGCAACAGTGGCCCTGATATCTCTTCTTTGCTTCACTCATCCAGATACACTCCCTCCTTTCCTTTCTTCCTGGGTTGCATTGGCAGGTGTAATGGGGAGGGTGGTAAACTGAATTCCTGCCTGCAGGGATAAATTATTAATGCCTTCCTGCTCGGTGGAACTGTGGGATTCGCCTGTTGTTCCACAAAACCATTTCTGAGTTTATGTTCAAGTAGTTCCGTCTTGATTTTTGGTATTCCAAATATAGGATAGGCTCTATCTTATCTTGCTGTTTTCCTCAATGATCTCAAATTATGAAGCTGTGATCCAGAAAATCCATAGTGGTTGTTATCACTTCATAGAATAGCATGTGCTGAAACATTCCCAGACATGCATCCAAAATGCACTTCTCTGAGATTAATCAATTAATTCATTAGACCAAATGGAAATTTCTAGCAGAAAATATTTGTTATTAATTGAAAAAAATAAATCGCAGAAAATATAATTACATTGCATTCTTCACATTTTGCTAATCTTTTAAATGTCTACATGCACTATTAAATACAAAATCATTTGCCTAAAATCTTTTCTATAAAATATTCACTTGTTGGTTTCCAAAAAGGAAATAATTAATTCCTAAAAGTCCTCCCTAGGGCTTATTGCCTGGGCCATGTAATATTAGCTTCTCCTCTGTTTGAGTAGTATAGAAGTTCTAGATTTACATAGCTACATTAATTAGAACATAACATTTAGGATTGTCCACAAGCGATTTGCAATTCCTAATTGCAAACAGCCTCACTAGTTCAATGGAATAATTTGCACGTGCAGGCAGGCTGAGGCTTGCAGGCTTGCACCTAGTAGATGATGGACATTTTAAAGATCGCTAAGAATTGACAGCAGTATGTATGGAGTGTTTTCATATAGCTTTTATTAAACGAGTTTTCTGATAGAAGACAGTATTCTTACATAAGGAGGGTACTTGCTTTGTCTCTATGTACAACACTAACAAAAAAACAAAACAAACCATCAAGGCAATGCCAGCAGGAAGGTCATTGTTGAAACACATTTCTAATTCCTTGAAGAGTCATGTTTTGATGTTATTTAAGAAGATATATTAGTAGAATTACAACTGTTTTGAAGGCACACCTAGCAACAGTTGAAGAATTAATATGTTGAGCAAAAACTTCACCTACTCTAACAGCAGAGTTTCTCTAAATTTTCAGTAAGAAAATGTTTTGAAGTAAAATGGAGCTGTTTGTTACGCACACAGATGAAGTTTGCTACTCTTTCTCTTTAGCCACTGCACTGACCTCAGGCGACCCAGAAAATGTCAAGTGAGAACTGCAGCCAGCAAACCACTCAAGCTCTGTCCTATCCAATGGCAGTCCCATTAATTCCTGTGGTGCAGGCCCTATCTGAAAAGCTTTGCTGAAAGTAGTCATGTGCAGTATCACCCTAGGATTCCTCTTTAAATATCGTAAACAATTCCCAGTGCCACCAACAGGACAGACCAGCCTAGGATTTGCCCCACTTTTCTTTTTCTTCAATTTCTTCAGTGACCACGGGAAGCTTTTGCACTGCTTCCTGTGCTTTTCAGGCAGAAAGTTTAGTCCATATATAATATCTTATTTTGCGATCATAATGCTTCAAAAATGTTAAGCTACCTCACAGCCCAGCCTATTCAAAGACCTGCCATCAACTTCAATAGGAAGCACACTGAGACTTTACTAGCGCAATGCAGATGATTTTTGGTACCTTTCCAGTAAAAGACACAGCTCTTTTGGCATATATTGAATATTATTGTCCTTACTCTGTGTGGAGAAGCAAATGGGTCTGTTGCAGGGAGGCTTCTGATGATTTACAATCCAAACAGACCACAGAAACCTCATTCTCTTAACAAGGACTAAGCCATGTCTTGGATTTGTTTTCTACTCCTAATGACAAGTCTCACATGAAGTTCATCATTTTCCAACAATATAACTCGGGCCTGCAATCCCATGGAGATCTGAAAGGGTTCAAAAGAGGTCATGTAACATTACAGAAAAGAAAGTCAGATGAGCTCTCCCAGGCAAAGAGTGGTGTTTACAGGCCACAGTATTTGCATTAGCCGAGGAGCTGTGATCTTCCTCTCACTGTTTTTAATTGGCTGGCATTAGTTAGGTCCCTTCAGCACATGGGCATGACTGTTTATACTTGCAAGCAGTAATTACCAGCATTTCTCATTGCCCCATCCTAAAGGGACTGATCTGCTGTTAATTCAGGAGGCTGTAGAGAAGATAATTCAGAGGAGGCTGCATTTTCAGAAACCTTTTATGTCTCAGTAGGGAGTAGATGGCAAATGCTTTCCCCATTGTTGAAGAGGCAAATAAAACATGGGCTCAAAATTATGAAACAAAGGTAGAAAGGGCTGGCATTCAGCTGGCCGCCACGCTCACAGACGTCCCATTTTTAGGAGACAAGTTCACTGTATGAGCTAGGAAGGTAGGTAATCTAATAATTACGGAGCTAGTGAAAAGGGAGACTCAAAGAACACCCATCAAAATCAAGATGAAGACAAAGGACACCAAAAGAAGAAAAATTTAATGCCTTATCAGCAGTATCAAGAGGGGGATGATAGATGAGAGAGACTAGATTTACATAGCTATGAGCAACATGACACTGTTACAGAGCCCAGCATGATGAGGATGTTGAAGTGAGTCTTGGGTCTGCATAGCCACAGGGAGCAGAGCAGATGGTGTTGCATGTCACATAAGATCCATCACTACTTTGTGTGGCCCAGAAATCACTCACAGCTCAAGTTTGGCACAGCCACGTTCATAATGTTTGTGTGTTCAACCCAGCCACCACAGATGCCTGCAACAAAGACACTCTCTGTGCAGATCTAATAAAGCTGCACCCCCTACAATTCATCTTTGAGTTGTTCTTGGTAAAGAAAATTATCTTGAAAGCTTATTAATTCACTTTGTCACATATGAAATTCAAAATGAGTGAGCAGGTGGTCTGTTCTGAAGACTATAAAATCAAGTCCATCAGGTAGGTGACCAGATCCATAACCAGCAATTTGTCATGCCAGAGCAGAAGACTGCATCTCACAGAAACTTCAATCTGAGTGGAACATGTTGGATGTCTTCTGTCGGCACTAAAAAATGCACAAGTACATGTAACCATTTCCTAATAGAAAATGGAATGCATTCAAAATAAGGCACAACTCTACGTGAACTTAAATGAAGAGAGTTTGTTAATAGAACTATATTTTTGGCACACTGGATTGTATGCTACACATTTCACTTCCAGACAATGAAGTTCAATTCCTTAGTATATTGAGCTGATGATTTTAAAGGACAAATGTTACAAAAAAGTTTATAAGCTATCTGAAATAACATACAAATAAGTATTAAAACAAAAATATATGAATGTTAACTGTGAATTCTTGAAAAACCACAGTAGATATTTATGAGTCACTGCCCCAAAATGCCAAGGGCAACCATTCCTTCTCCTGGGAGTGTGCAGGCAGATATTAAACAAACTGTTCTGAAGGAAAGAGCAGGATGAGAATAGTTGTTACCAACCAGAAAATACAGACTGATAGAGAAATGAAAGCACACACACAAAAAAATAACAAACCACACAACAACCCAGTAAGTTTTTAAAACATGTTGTGAAGAAGAAAATTCTTCTTAATGAACAGATTCTACAATTCCTCTATGACATATAATGAAAATGATAGATGTATCAGTAATGATTTGCAAAAGGCAAAAGTGTTAACTATGCCTTTCTATGCTGTACTGGGAACCATACCAATTGGTATATAGTTATATAAGGTGGCGATGAAAGGTGAAGCCTTGAAGCTCTCTCAGTGCTACTGTTTGGCAGAACAACAGAATCCAAGCGCCAAACTTTTATTTGTATCTCAAAATCTCATGGATTAATTCAAAGATTCAAAGATTACGAATCTGTTGTGATCATCTAACCTGCCCACCTATATAGCACAGGCCATCAGACTTGTGTGAACCTCTTCTCTGAACTACAGAAAGTCTACTAGGAAAACACCAGCATGAAACTGTGTGCTTCCTCCTTGTCCAAGCTTGTTTTGATTCAGCTTCTGGCCATTGGATCCTGCTATCATTCAGCAACACTGAAGAATTCATTACAGGAGAATATTCTCAATAGCAATGTTCTCAGAAAAGAGGCAAGTCCCTCTTTTACATTGTCCCCAGTAAAGTATGAACATTATGAAGATTATTCTGCCATTCTTCAGGACTTCTTTTGCACCCTTGCTAATGTGATCACATTCTTGTCCTGTGAATACTCAGTCTGGACACTGAATGATGGCAATTACTAAGCCAGTGCTAACCACAGCAGTGTCTGAGTGAGAAAAGTAAACACAGGCACAAGTGTGGGCACACATTTGCTCATGCTACATAATGGTTAGTTTCAGAGTGCATTTGGGGGAGGCTATACCTGAGCATGGTTTGAGTCATAGCATGGGACAAGATAGCTTAAACAAGCAGTATGGGTGGGGCTATTATGTTTGAGGGAGTCTGGGTGTATGGAAGCAAGCTGTTCTATCTCATCTCCCCTCAGAGGTAGAAAATTGACCACATTTCGATTTAGCAAAGACATAGCCTCTGCAAGGTTTTCTAACCAATTTCCCCATATTTTTAACTTTAGAGGCCAGAGGAGTTTATTTTTCAGGGACCTGCACTACAAATTCATGCTGAGACAGTTATTCATCCTGCTTACCGTGTTCCTCCAAGCATCACTCTTCCCCAGCACAAATTCATTTACTCCATCTGTATGACCTAAGATTTTTGTTTTCACTCCAATGGCTTTTTATTAGATTGTGTTAAAACAATCCAAGGTCACTTGAATTATAATTGCAATATTCCTCCTTTGGCACTCGTTAGTTTCTTCAGCATCAACATCCTCTGCAAACTCCACTTTCTCCAGGATATCTGAAAGAAGAACTGAAAAAAAAAAAATTCTCAAAGAACTTTTAACAAAATAAGTCTTTTTAAGGAAGAGGAACTTTCACGCTAAAGAAGAGATTGCACAGTCTCCCCCTGAGACATCCCAAACTCAGCCAGACAACACCTAAGCAACTTGATCTGCCTTTGAAGTTGCCACAGCTTTGAGCAATGGGCTGGATTATATGACCTGCAGAGGTGCCTTCCAACAGAATGATTCCATGATGATTCTCCATTTGTACTCCAGGACCTGCCAGAAGGCCAGCTTTCAATCAGTGCAACACGTGCCATGTTAGTTTTATACTGTTTGGCTTTCTTTAATTGCAGTCTCCTGATTTCAGGACAAATGCTTTATGTCATTTTCATCATCTTTATTTAACTAACTTACCATCGTATAAAAAAAGGTGGCAAGTTTTACAGTCTAGATTTCACATACAGTAATGTTGACTGGTATTAATTATATGTTTCTCCTTTAATTTTCCTTTAAGCCTGTGCCGCATCAGCTGTTCACTCCCCTGCCAGGATTCATAATAGGCATGACAGTATCTACCTTAAATTATCCTCGATTCCCAGCTCTTCCACTGGGTTTCAGGAGTTACTGAACATCAGCAGAAGCGGCTCGTGCACTCTCCAGGTGACTCCGCTAAAACACTGGGATGCAAGTACCTGGATAGCCTGATTTTAACATTTAACTTCTCCGTAAGTTTCTAAAGGAAAGAAGCTCGTTGCAGTGACAGGTATGCCGCTCTTTTCACTTCTTTCCAAACCAACCATTCACTGACCTGCACTATCCGCCCTGTGCCGTTGGCAGCTTTCAGGCCACAGCCCGCGGGCACGGGTGCCGAGCAGCAGCCCATCCTCCTGCCTGCACTGCGGGCGGTGGAGCCCTCGAAACGCGGCCTAGATGCCGCCCGCCGCTGCCACCGCGGGCCAGGCCGGGCGGGGCTCGTTGGCTCGGGCTGCGGGTCCCACCCCGCCGCGCCGCGGCTGCCCTCGCCCTTCCCAGCCTCCTGCTCGGGAGCAGCCGCCCTGTCCCAGCCCTCCCCCGGGGCTCGCTGGCCTTGCTCCTCCCCGTCTCTGCCACCGCGTCCCCAGGACTGCGGCAGCCCAGCCTTTGTCCCCGTTCGGCCCGGGCTCCTCTGCGTGGGCAACAAAGGCGTTTCAGCTTCCTCTGCTGCAGAGCTCCATAAGGGAACGCTGGCGCGACAGGGATGCTTCTTGCTTTTCGTACACCTGAAAGATCATTTTGATTGTATGCAATTCGGAACAGCGTCAGAAAGTTCCATTTATAGCCTAAATCCTGTTTTTGCTGGAGAATCCAATAGCAAAAAATACCAGGAGATTCCCACTTTTTTGCCTTCCTGCTCTCCTTTTGAGGCAGCAAGACGCTACATTTTTCACCATACGCTTAAATACAATTTATATTTGTCAGTACCTGTGGCACACCCACTTACATCATCTGCCAGAGAAGACGATGGACGAACATTCCCAAAATATCACAAACTGACAAACTGAATACTGCAGCTGAGAAAGTACAAATGATAGTTCTGCATTTAGCATGGCAGTAAAGAGAAGATAAAACCTTTTCGCCTTTTTTTTTTCTTCCCAAAATGATGGTTACTTGCTTTTGAAAGAAAGTTTAATAGCCAGCATGACATTTTGGTGACTGACCTTAAAAATGGCATTCATTGTTCCTGTTCCAGACTTGTGAGAAAACTTGTAACTGTGTCAGAACTAGTTGTAAAATCTGCCTTAATTTCTCACCCTGTCAGTCTCATGGGCTTTCCCGTGGCACACTGTGATCTGCCTTCTGATCTCCAGCCAGTCCGTGCGTTTTGAATTCCAAATATCACCCACAGAAAAATAAAGGGATGTTTCACATCAGCAGGCATCAGCATCTACCATCTGTTGCTTCCTGAGAAAGAAAATCTACCCGAACCAATCATTCTATCCTAATTTTAGTCAGCCTTTAGAGTACAAAGCCATCCAAAACACTGCTGTTAGATTTTCCTGGACTGGCGGAGTTCATGACTGATGGATAAGGAGGAAGCCATAGCCAATGTTCTTTCTTCCCTGCTCTATAAACCACCAAAGTTTTGGTGCTTTTAATAGTAAGTTGCTTTTGTCCAAGATGTCTTTCCCAAACAGTATTTAAAATGCATGATGAATACGAGGAAGATGAGCAGCATTAGCAGCCCCTGCAGCTATGGCTTACTTAATAAATCATTGCTTTTGGCACTGGGATGCTAATCCTCCCCTCGCTGTGAGAGAGACCCCAGCCCTAAATGCCTTATCTCCCATCTCACTGGGTTTCTCTGCCATGGTAGATATCTTGGGGCTGTAATGTAGCCCTTCCTTTGCAAAGGAGTGTCTTCAGGAAATGCTGAAGTTTCCTGAAAAATTCCATCCTTATGATATTGTGTGAAGCAACATTTGCAGTCCAACAGTATGCCTGCTTTTGTAGAATGTGGAATGAACAAAAGATTACAGGACGAGCTTGGTAATCAGGCAACCTCCAGTATGTAAGTGGCCACCTATATTTATTATCCACTGTCCTGTCCTGCGAGAACTTCAACGTATTCCAGAAGAGTCCATCAGGCCCTGCTGACATCTGGTTATGTTGGTATCACCATAAATGTGGAACAAAAAGAAAGACACAGTAGGTTTATAAAGACAAAATGAAGCAGAGTTACAATCCAGACATACAGATTTGTATATTTTGCCCCCCCCCTAAATAAAAGAAATTGCTTTGAAACATGGGTACAAAGAAGAAGGACACAAGCTAGGACACAGTGCCAGGAGAGGAATGAGTACACAGCCAGGCTTCTCCTAAGGTTGGCTTCTGAAGAAGAGCTGATGCCTGAGTCCAGATTGCAGGTATTTCCTTCCTCTAATCATAAGCAAGCCAATCCAGGTCAACAGGAAAAGGAGGAGGAGGATGTGGCAGCAGAGATGCCACCCAGGGGCAAGGGAACTCATCTGGGAGATAGAAGATTCAGATTTGGATGCTGCTGTCTCTTCTGCCTGGTACAGAACAGGGAATTAAACACAGAGTTTGAGTCTCCCAAACAAGTGCTCTGAATGCAAGCCATCTGGGGTTCCTCAGTATCAGCTGTAGTAGTTTGTCCATGATTTTTAAATACTTGATAGTTTGGAGAGGAATATCATGCTTTCATGCCCTGGTGTTGGAGCAGTGAGCTGGCACGAATGTTCCAGTCCTCATCCAGTAAACAGTGAAGTACCTTTATAAACAGAAACAGCAGAGACCCACTACAGAATATATTCTAGTTTGTTGAGCTCGGCACTTTTTGCAGGCTTTAGACACAGCAAAAAAGAAGGATCAGGACCTGAATTTCTAATGTCTCCATGCAATAATCACCAGGTTTCGGGCACATAGAAGCAAGGACACTTGTTTCTCATGCTTCAAGACAGGTGCAGTGCAGAAAGTCTGCTCTAAGAGACTGCACATTTCAGATGAGGTGGAGAAATCTGGAGCTGTGAATGCCCACATGAAGTGGGGGTCAGCAGCTCAGAAGCGTTAGCAGGGGAGAGAAGACTGTGCACGCCCACTGCAAAATGCAGGTATCTTATGGCCATGTCTTTTGTCATCAACACCGAGGACATCAGCTGCCTCCCAGGCGAAGCAGACCGTGAGCTGGTGGTTCTGGTGATCTCATTAATATGCAAATATCAGGCTAGCCTTAACTTTAATCTAGCCCCTCAATCTCCAGTCTGCACCTACACTGTGACACAGCAGCATCACACAGATGAGGCTCTGGGCAGACTCACCTCTCATCCCCTTTGTTCACTTGCAGAAGCATCTTCAGTGCTGGATGAAGGGCAAGTCAGCTGCTATTTAGGGTGGTGAACTCCACATGCACCCCACACATTATGGTGTATTCAAGGGCATGCTTATTTATGTGTTGAGCAAATAGGTCCTGTGATTCTGTGAAGCTTCCTTCTGGCCCATTTGCCCTTACAGTCATTTCCTATGGCCTCCATAATCACCACTGCAATCACCAAAGACAGAGGTACTTCAGAAGAAGTAGAAAAGCTAATCTGACAAAGAGAAAGTAGAAAGATAGAAGCTTTTTCCTAGAAATACTCCCGAGGCACACAGGATAGAGTATAGGAAGGAAGAAAAATGAGCGATAACATCACTGCCAAATCCCAGCAGACCAGCATCATGAGTCAGGCCTCAAAGGATCATAAGATTTCAAAGCAGAATGACATTTTTGTTCTTTCTAGTCACCATCTGATTTTTGAATCCCTAGAGCTCATATGCAAACATTTCCTTTCATAGAAAAAGAAAGATTGGGTTTTGCCATAATCATTTGTCTTCAGAATATGCAGTAGCAACAAATGCTCTAAAGAGAGCCAAGCTCCAAATGAAACCACCAGAGCTGACAAGACTATTAGACAGAGGACAGGAGAGAAAGAAAATTGGGAGAAACAATGAGCAGAGAGTTGGATATGTCAAAGAAAAAGGCTATGCACACCTATTTAGGCCTTTCCTCAAGGCAGGAAGAGAGAAGAATGTGGGACATAAATAAGGGAAGATGATGTAGTCAAATCTCTAGGGAGAAAATGCAATTCTCTTCAGCTTGCCTTTCACCCCACAGAGACTGCAGCAAATGTTGAATTTTGATAAACAACTTTAATGTTGAATTTTTGCTGAGAAAGTTAAAACTCAGATGTATAGTTTGGATAATCAGTGGCATGGCTAATTGGTGACTTCTACAATCTGTCCTACTCTGAAACATAAGATGTTTCATTTTTGTTTAGATTGCAAGTCTGAATGGAATACCAAAATAAACATCTGAATGTTTGCAAACACTGTGTTAATTTGTATCAGTCAGGGTTCTATTAAGAGAATAAATGTACTTATAAGAGAAAATGTTTTTATTCTCTTAATAAATGTGTATATTATCTTTGTAGAGAATAATATGAGTGCACTGAGGTTTTTCAAGCTTATTAACACCTGATGCACACAGATGAGGATGCCATAGGAAAATGTAAAAGGTCATTCACTGTGTCTTCCCTGAAATACCTATTTTGCCCACATTGTTTCTCTGCCCCTGTATGTCAAAGCTCTCTGCTCTTGTCTGGAAGAAGGTCCTGTGGCTGAGGTACATAGCTGAGAATTTTTATGAATGTGGGCAATCAGAATGGAGTTGATGGCTTACAGGAAGAGGGTTTTGTGTCCATGTTTGCAGTGTTGCTAGTAGGCGAGTTTAATATCAGTGTTAAATACATTCAGGTAATGAATCACATGACGGTAAATCAACGTCTGAGCGTACTGTGAGCAGTCTTTTTTTTGAACTCTTTCTTCTTTGACGTGGAGCCTTTGTTCCCATTATAAAACTTTGTATTTCTCAATGGCTTGCTTTATCAATTTGTCAATCAAGCTTCACAGCAATACAAAAACATGCAGATTTTAATTCAGTTTCAAAATTTGTGATGCTAAAACAGTAGATCTTTAATAATTAATTACATTCAAGTCTCTTCATTTCAGCTAAGATTATATATTCATATATATGTATATTCAGAACCAAACTTTTCTTTTTGTATGGTATCCAAAACAAACATACTACTAGAGTACCAAGGAAACATAAAAATCTCAGTTGTATCTATAGGTAGAATCTTTAGGGATTCCTAAATTAGAGGAGTGTGCATGGGAATGTTTTGATTCCTTTAAACATATAAAAAAACCCTGGCCTCTCTGAGAGCTCTTTAGCATGTAAATGGAGGTGCCTGCCTGGGAACCTGTGAAGAGACGGAGAGCCCATGGTGCCAGTGATCCCCTAACCTCCCTGACATCAGGGATCTCTACCATCCTCACACTCACATTACCTATGAGCATCTCCCTTGGCTCTGCTCAGCTTGGGGCAAAGCAGAGATCACACCCACAGAGGAACACATGGCTGATAACAACAGCCTCTCGTCCCAACCATCCTCCAATGTATCTAGTACCTCTTTTCCTCATACACAGTGGTTTTTCCCATGAGTGACTTAAGCATCTGAAATTGCTACAGGTTTGGAGAGCATATTTCTTGCAGTATCCTCAACTGAAGGACAGCCTCTGCTTGTAGGTGACGTGCTGACAGTGCCATCAGGCAGACTAGCAAAGCAAATGTCCAGAAGCTCTTCTGTATCCCAGCTCAAGTTCACTTTCCAACACTGATGTTTCTGCCTTTGAGAAGATTTTCAGCAGCAGGGAACCTCTCTGGTTTGCATCTGCCTCAGCTCATTCCCAGCTAGGGCCCTTCCAGAGTGAACGCAACATGATTCAGCATTTCCTCTGAAACAGAAGAAATTTGGTTCTCTTCAAGTTTCACTTTGCTGTGCTGTGACAGAACACAGATTTCACTTTGTTTAGAAGATGTGACGCCAGTAGCGATCATGGGTTTAATTATATTTCAGCTGCAAGAAAATCTCAGTTAAGTTTTTTATGTCTCTTCTGACCTCAGAAAGCCAGCTTTACACAGGGAGAGCATTCTTTAATATCAGTGACCGTGGCTAGATCTGACTTGGGAAAGAAATGGCTCTTTTTTGTCCAAAATGTTCATTTTGAAAATATCAAAAATGTCTCTTTCATATATACATATACACACACTTGTATATTGAATAAATGCCATTATTTAGCTGCATAATGAATTGTACAAATGATATTTGAATTTCATGATAAAACTGCATAATGAATGTCTTGTGTATGTATATATATGCATATTGGCACATAAATATATGTCAAAATCCAGAGTATCTCTCACTCATGTATACTGACAGCAAAACTTCTCCATTATCCTTATTTAGCAGATCCACTACAGCCCTGAAAGAAACCAAATATGTTCGCAAAGGATGATCACGCCTGCCAAATGCCTCTCAGAAAAAAACGATCTGTGATAATCTTCATTTTCTTACATATTTAATAACATTCATTATACCTCATACATATTTCCTATCAACAATTGGTTAACGACTCATATCTGCACAATATCACTGTCACCTTGGCTTACATATTTCCACTGCCCTAGCACTCGAATAATACAGTAGCAATGTTTTAAACTCTTTGTTAAAAATATAGCACTCCTCCATGGTTTTTGAAGGTTCCTTTTTTAGTAGTTTTTTTTTGTTTGTTTTTTAAAATGTGATTTGATAATAGACCTTAAAAAGCACCTTAGAACAAAATTGCAAAGGAGGAGTTGGTATTGCACAAACCAAGAGACTAAATGGCACAGTAGGATAATGAAGAGGAATATGGAGATATGAGACAGAGAGGGTGGATCTGCTCTCAGCTCCCGGCTTGAAGCAAGGGCTCACCTGAGGCAGGTCTGCACCTCTAGCCCTCTGAGCAAGGCCACTCCTCCCTGATTGCCATGCCAGCTGCAGCACCTCAAAGCAGAGCTTTGCAGTTGACACATCTCAAAGACCCAGGCCCTTCTGCAATCTCAGAAACATTTTTTCTTTGTGGGAGGATGGAAGAGCAGCATGTGCCATGTAGGTATGCAGTCTGCATAGGGTGCTTGCTTTCCTGAATCTTGTCTGCACATGCCGGTAGGAGGGTTTCTTCAAGACTTGAGGATGCTCTGAATGTAGGAACCTCCCCAGTCACCTCCAAGAAACTACTTGGTGTCACAGATGCCACTTCTTGACAAATAATAAAATTCAGGTACTAAAGTAGCTCCTGTTCAAACTGCTTCACAAAATCCAGTCCCTGTATCTCACCAGGGTCTGGCTCACTTTATTCACTGTGCCTTCTCTGGCTTCCTGATAGATTCCTGTGTCAGTGCCATGCCTTGTGTATGTCACTTGGCTAAACACCAGCAGAATACAATCAACATTGTATTCTGTAATATCAATAGCAGAATACAATATATCCTAATATAAAAGGCTACAAGGTTAGAGAATCAACAGCCTCAGGGGTGGGAGCAGTTGTTTTATTTTCAATTGTTGTGCTGGGTGTGGTATAGGGGAAGAAACTGACAAGATAATAGATAAAAGATATCTAGAAGATGGGGTTCCACTAAATAAAAACAGACTATGGATAGGAAGAAAAACTAAAGAGGAAATTGTCTTCTTTCTCCATTCTTTATGATGCTCCACTCGCAGCAACCAGCAGCTGTATTGCTGCTGGAGTATTTCCCAGGCCAGACTGGGCTGGCAATATTTGCTCTCCTACAGCCTTGCCTGGAAGCAGTAATCTCAGAAATACAGCCTCTGCTCTTTATAGCTACTATGGTAAATGCTGTTTAAATCTCACTTTGAAGCTTTCTGACCAAAAATTCCAAAACCACTTGTATAAAACATCTATCCAGTATAAATTCAGATTGTGGCAAAACATCTCTGGTGGCTTGGCTGTAACCTTTAGGCTTTATGTCTAACCCACCACTACAGCTGTCTGATCTCCTCTACTCTCAAATTTGCACCAGCATAGAGGCACCACAAATTTGCTGTGGGTGATGATGCCAAAATGTGATCACATGCCATACCTGATCTGAATCAGCTGTGTTCCTCTGGGAGATCCAATCACGCCCTGACCCAGCATTAATAACCTTGGAGTCGCAGCCTGAGATACTTCTTCAGAGGAAAGGATGGACTTACCTAGGCAAAGGTAAGTGGGGATGGGGGGTTTGGGTCAGGGTCTGAAGGCAAGAGAAGTCCTTGCTATAATTGTAAATTTTGTCTTTGCATAATGAAGCCTGCAAAATCTTGTCTTTTGAGAGCTACCAATTAAGTAGTTTTTAATTCAGTTGATTTTGTGGCATTGTGCTATATCAGGTGCTTTCTTAGCCAGAGGGACAGATGTCCTTCAGGTGTCCAACAGGAAGGAGTATTGATGGTCCAATTTTTAATCTAGAAGTGGGAGGGGTAATTGCTAACAGATTGCTAGCTACCATAAGGCTATACTGCTGGGCACTAATTATGTAGCCTTCCTTTATGCTTTCTACTGGTGTGCCACATTAGCTCCTCTCCATGTCTTGGCTGGCTGTAGGGGTGCTGCTCCTGCTCTCCTAAGCAAGGCTTGATGCAGGTTGTAGCTGCCTGAAGGCCTTCCACTGTGTTCAGCCCCAGGCTGATCCCTCTCCACCAACACAGGGCTTAGTCTAGTGTGCATAGCCCTGGGGTGTTCAGCAGCAGGCCTCTGGCATGGCAACAAGGCAGGAACTGCAGGAGTAGTTGTTCCCCTGTAGTCTTATCTACTGATTCTTTTCTGCTACTCAAAATTCTCCCTGTGCTCTGAGGGCAACACCCTGGCTGAAGGCTTTGAGGAGGGTGCTTGCAGTAATTGCAGTCTGTCATAACAGGGGTTTATTACAATAGTCACTTTACTGTAATAGACAGAATTGTTTGTTCCCTTATGAAACATACAGAAGCTGGAAGATTTATGTGGGTAATGTAAACAATGCCATTGCAGATTACAAACCACAGTTGATTTCCATACTGAAGAAGTAGCAAAGGCAATTTATAAAGTCATCAGTCTAAAGCGAAGATTTGATCAAATTATTTACCTTCAAAGGTGCAACATGCCATCTCTCAGTAATGCTTCTCTTTATTGATAGCCTCAAGTTATTGGCCCTCACTTAAAAATAAAGCATGAGGGGATCTGTCTGTTCAGTGGGATGATTGCAGTTGTGCTTTAAAGTATTATCAGGCTACAGACAGTGTTAGTGTGCACCAGCAGGTTTCAATTCCTGAGCTCCATTATTTTGGATGCCATGGTGGGCATCTTTTGAACATGGTAGTGAAGACCTCCTCTGCTGCAGATGCACTCAGACTCCTGTGCTGCAGCTTGCTTATGGTAGTTAAGGCAGCTGGAGGTTTTTAACAATGAAACAGTATTTCCCTGTGGTTCTTGATTTACAGGAGAGATGCTGTAGATTGCTGCTCCTGTGCTTCTTGTGTTACTGCTCTGCCTACCTGTGTCAGTGTGTCTCAAGAGATGCTGCCATTTCTTCCACGCACACCACCACACGTGTCTTGGCAGCCAATCTCTGCATTCAGTATTGAAAACATTTCTGTGGCACTGGTGGAAGCTTAATTTGTGCAAAACTGATACTTCTCAGCTGGGAGTTACAATTTGTGAGATAACATTTGTGGCTCCACCCTCCTACTTTCATTGGAGCAAACTTGCAAAGATGCTTGCATTTTGCGTAATAGTTCGTCTGTTTGTACAACCTACAGCTCTTCATCTTTAAGTCAGCTCTCTGCACACTGGGATGTCAGCATGACATGCAAGGATAATAAGCACAGCAGAGATAACAGCCCCTTTGGATCTGCTGTTAATTCTGCTGTTCAGGACATTTTCCTCAGGAGAAGCAGCTAGGTGCACACCAGTCAGGCATAATTGGGGAGATAATCAATATTGTGTAGCATTTAGAGGGCACTGCAAACATCTTTGTCATTTTAAGGAGTATAAATTCAATAGTATTGAACGAATATGCAGGGTAGTCCCAGCTCCAAGGAACTCAAGTTAAAAACATAGTATGATACAATGAATGAGGAAAATTGCAGAAAATAGGATGAATGTGCCATTGAAATAGATGTTAAACCATTCTCTTCTGAATATTTACTTGTGCAATTGCTGCTTGGACTTACTCCATGCTTTTAGAGCTTTCAATGTACTTAATTTTTAAACTTATTTCTTAAGTTAATTAACTTTTGGAAACCATAGAAGCTTATATTATCCACAGTACTCAGTGCAGATGAATTGTTTTAAAAAGTTGCTGCTCTGTTCATTTACTTGAATTTCCCCGATTTCATTTTGCATCCCCTAATCATATACTGCAAGAAACAGCAATTAATCCCCACACACCTTCTCCCTTCCATTGCATTTATTCATTTCCAGTTTGTCCTCCATCAGGTCTCTGTCACAGGGCTCAGGTATTTTGGTCTATTTAAATACTCCTTATATGAAAGCTATTCCATACTTCTTTGTGATGTTCATAACCCTTAAGTATAATGGTAGTATAACTTTTGAGAACAGCTCACAGTATACAAAGGTGGTGTTTCATGAATTTATGCAGCGATGTAGTTTTACTGTTACATGCAATTTAGTATCTTCAACTTCTACTTCAATTTAATTTAATTTTAGAATGATACATAATGATGATAAAAAGTAAATATAAAGCTCCTGGTAACTTCAGTGATCTCACACTGCTTCTGTGATTTGATATTCTAACTTGAGTCTAATTCCCCTGTTCTTTTCCACAGGTCTTCTACAGGCTCAAGCAGCATGATTTACCTCACTACTATAGGAGGGCCAAGACTTATGCTGCATTTGCAAAGCTTTTTGGTCACAGCTGTTCTGCTGACGAAGGCATTATTTGCACTGATGTGGTAAGAGTGTAAACACCTTAAAAGTGCCATCCCTCTTGCACAATTACCTCCTGGGTGCTGACTCAGCACTCAGGGGGCAGCACTGCTCAGCTGGTGTCCATCTACATTGCTGTCGTACTGCAATTTCTCTTTGGGCTCCACACTGGCCTGCTAAAGCTTTCTGCTACTCAGCACAGAATTGGCATGCTCTTTTTCTAATCCCAGTGCTTCAAAAACTAAGAAATCAGAACATTAGCCACTTTACATGGCTCCTTTCCATTAAGACAGGAATGACCTGTGAGAATTCTTACAGAACTTTGGTGTTTGTCCTTTTTCAGGTGATATATGACATACGTTGCTCTGAACTTTTCCCATAGAGGAAATATATGAAAAATCCCAGTAATAATCATTGACTGCTTTAAAAAATATATATATATTTGTTGTTGTTGTTTTTGCTTAAGCTTGTAGCTACTTGCAAATCCCAATGACTCCAAATACTGAAGTAGTGTACTATTTGGGTAAGGGTAGATTTAGTGTGTTTGCAGAATACACAGCACCGCTTGAAATCCTTCATCCTTGCTGGGTAAAAGAATCACTGGATCTGAAATGAGGATAAAGTTTTACCTTTCGTTGCTTTGCAAGAGATAACAGCAGGGCCAACAATAGGACCAGATAAGTGTTTACAGTCATAATATTGCATTTCATCAGCTTCTTGCCACACCTGTTAGCATATCCCTGAACTGTAGCTACTGTGCAAGATGTAGTACAGTGACTTAAAATAAGTAAGCTGCTAGCTCATTGAGATGCCTAGCAAAAGTAGTAAATCAGTAAATTTGAACTGTATACCAGGAAAATAGGGTGACCAAGCACTGGAAAAGGTTTCCCAGAGAGGCTATGGATTCTCTATCTTTGTAAATATTTAATATGACAGAGCATGGCCTTAGCAGCCTTCTTCAGTTTTCCTGCTTGGAGCAGGGAAATTGGACTAGGCAGTCTCTAGAGGTTCAGCCCAAATTATTCTGTGGTGCTGTGAGTTTATGACCACTTGCCACATTTCAGTTGAAGGAGCAGCAGTAAACAGGTCATGATTTTAATATTGTTGTTAAATCTCAAGGGGAAATAGCAATAAAATATTAAAGAAAATTAGTATAAGTTTTATAGAAAACAGCAACTATTTACCTCAGTAAAACCAGAAATTGAGAGGTTGGTAAGGTAGCACCCTGCCAAATAATCAGATGGAAGCACAGTTCTTCAGGAAATGGAGTTTATTTGGGCCGCAGGAAGTTTTAATATCCCAGAGTCTGTTTTCAACACAATTTGAGGTGACAAATACAGATGATATATTGTGCAGAAAAAATTCACACACTAATTTTAAAAAAATAAGACAACAAATAGCAGTGCTAAAAATTCAGGAAAAGTGAAGAAGGAAAGTCAAATGTAAACAAGATAGAAATATCCCAATAAATGAAATCTCCTGTTCCAATTTTGAATTTCTTTGGAATGTTCTCATTCAAAAATCTAGTCGTTCCCAAACTTCATGAAATATATTTTGTGCTACATTTTCCAAAGGGAAATTTCCATTTCAAAACTTTCTATCAAGTACCTTCATTAGTAGTTCAATTATTCTTCTAAGAGCTGGAATCCTTAAGAAACATGGTTTTTCTTCACTGATGAATCTTTATTTTTCCTAAGCCAACTTTTTTCCTTTCCTTACAATAAAGGGAATTATTTATATTCGTTACATGCTTCTCTAGTGCTTTATGAGAAGCATCCAGAAATTTATTGCCCTATTTCTTTCCAGACCACCCTTAAAAACAACTTCCACTTTAATTTCAGAATTAGCTCTTGTTGACTTTAATTTTCCTGTGCAGTCCTTAACGTGATTTACTGTAATTCAAAATTAACTACTAGTTTGCTGCGCCACATACCTGACATCATGGCACAGATAATACCTACCTATACTCTCTAACAGGGTCCTACATGACCTTCATTACTATAGTATTTGAGTAACTCAAATATTGATGAACAGAAAAATATAAATATCTTATTTCAAAGTATGAAGGGGATGCAGTAAGATTTGGTTCACAGAAATTCCAGCAATCAGTCCTCACTGTGACACCATGTATTATGTAAGTATATAAAATTTATGGAGGTGAGTTATGGCTAAGAAAGGAGGTTTGTATTTCTAGGGGCATAATACCTCTAAGTGTCATGTTAGAAGGGCCAGAGAACACTGTATTATAAAGCTTTAAAGACCCTGGATGCTTTGGGGCCACCAACGTAGTCATTGCATGAGGCAACTACTGCTCCACAAAATTGGTCATGAAAAAGTTAAGATTTTCTGGAAGTGATGTTTCCACAGATGGCATATTCCTCTTTCTCTTCAAATGAGACTGTCAAAATCAAAACAACCTCTTTCTCAGAGAAAGAAAACTAGTTTTCCACCAATTCAACCCTTTCTTCTTCCACCGTTTCCTCAGCTGTTGATTCACTGCCAGTTCACTGCATCCTCAGTCTTCAGCTTCCTTTGGTTCTTATACGTGCTATTTGCTGCTGTTTCCCAGCCCTCCTTACTGTACTCTTACAGGCTGTTAGATCTCCTTTTCTCTTCTCATTCCTACTTTTTCCTGTTGTCTTTATGACTCCAACTCCAGTTTGCAGTATCATACATTCAAGTATATAAAATCCCTATAAAATCTGATTCATTCACACCTCTGAACTCATAAGCTTAATTGCCTAAGAGTTTTTTCCATCTTAATGACTTCAAGCTAAGCCTATTCTCCTCATGATTCAGCTTCAGATCTATGTACAACCAACCTCTTTTTCAAATGTTCCTTTTTTTTTTTTTTCCTGTGATAAAATTCATTTGTTTCACTGGTATCTCCTTTAAGAATGTATGAATGTACAGACTTGCCATTACATGCACTAGAAATCTTCTCCGTATCTGGGCCTTTTTTCCATAAACATTCCAATTCAGTTCATGTTCATCAGCTCAGGGGCATCTAGAATCAATAACTTACACAATATTGCACTTCCTGTCAGAGTTTCACACTTCTGTAGTCATAGGACTTTTTAATTAAATATTCTGATTTATATCCAAATTTATCAAAGAATATAAATAAGCTATTTTTTTTAGATTTTCAAGCCAGAATTTAAACAAAATTTTGTTCATTGCAACTTGAACAGATTTAGCTCTTGTCTGCACACATGAAACTGGGGCTGCAAGCCAATATGATGCAGAGGAATTGCTGCAGAATTTTCATCACTTTCAAGAAATAAAACCTCATATAATTGCTTTGATTTGGACACATATGAAAACTGAGGGAGAGCTGAGGACAGAAATCCCCCAGATTCTGAACAGCTGAATTATTTGTGCAGCTGGATCCCTCCTCTTGCAAAGGAGGCATAGCAGAAGGCCACCTACAAAGCTTTTCAAGCCACCTGATGTCAGTGCTGTGCTAATCCATAGGCTGTTCTACTTTCAAGTATTTATTCTGCTTGCTCTCCCATGCATAACACACATGGGAACTCTTTTTCTAGCCTGTCTCTATCTGCAGCTAGAATATGTCAAGTTAGAGTTATTACTTCATCACATTTTCTGCTGCCTCTCAACGTTTTTAACTTTGCTTTCACTTCCTTCCTAATTCTAACCCTTCCTCATCAGCATCTCTTCCAGTATCAGTGATTTCTGTCAGCACCTAGCCACTATACCTTAACTGACTGATTCATAGATGTCTCTGGTGAGTACTTCTGATGATGAGAGAAGATTCAGTGGGCAAAAGGAATGGAAAACAATCTCTTGTTTTCTTGGTCACAATTTCAGTTGTGCAAATAGATCCACAACCATTTCTCTTCTGCCTTTTTCACAGTATTACACACAAAAATTCACAGAGCTTTTGAGAAAGCTGTGCTGGTTGGCCAAGTCATAAATAATATTGTCTGCATCTTGGCTTTCCCAGCTCAATTGAGCAAAATCTAGAATGCTTAGTTTCAGCTAAGGAGTACCTGTTTCACTAACACTCAAAGGAAGTCAAGCTTGTCAAGTTTTACACCAGGAAATGATGTCTTTGTGTGAATCCATATTTAATGCTGGCTGTTCGGGAGTGAGGCATGTGAAAAATCAGACCTCCAGCTCCTGTACCAAGGAGCTGAACACTGAGCATGCAATTCATTTTCTTGTGCTGTGAGCATGACCATACTATGACTTACACAGCAATCTGGCACGCCTAGTATCAATGTTTAAAGAGCAACCTACAGAGAGCTGAAACCTGATCTAATACCTTTGCAGAACACAGGCATAAAGACAGAAACATAAAGCATTATTAATATGTATTAGAAAAGGATATAAATTCCAACTGTGAAACATTCCTTACAGGGTAAAACTATGAAATAGGCCACTGCCAAAACTGTAGATCTGAGCTTCACATTTCTCTGCTGTGGGAAACTACAATTTCTGCTATTATTCCAGGGGTTGTAACTTTGGCTCCAGATCCAATGTTTTCATCCTTTCAAAAAGATGTTCAGATTTGATATAACACAAAATTCAGACCCAGGCCAAAAGTCTCAATTCAGGCTCACCTCCACTGAAAATGAGTTATCCAGTTCACACCATTCATATCCAAACTCATTCAACTTCTGAGAAGATTCAGCCTCAGTCAAGCCAATTCTGAAGCTCTGTGGTGAAGTTCAGATTCAGATGCCTAAAAGTCTGGGGAAATTAGGATACTTAGAGTCAGAGAAAACTAAAATGATGGAAATCAGAAGCAAAACAGTGGGAGGACCACCTGACTGCCAAGACGAGAAAGAAACACTCAGAAAAGGGAAGGATGTAGGCATTGCTATTTAAATCTGTTCAACATTTGTATCAGGTAGGAGGATAAAAAGCCAGACCTAGTGTGGAAGCTGTGGAGTTATGTCAATGTGCAATGCATCTATCGTAACAAATCTTGCTTTTCAGGTAGACTTACTGCAATAGAAACACTCCCACCCTAATCAGCCTTGCAATTCTGGGAACAGAGCTGACTTGCACTTCTCTTTGAAACAGCAGCACGACTGCTTCCACCTGCAAGCAGATATCCAGTAATTTAGCTAGCTGACACACTGACATGTCTGTGCATACATGAAACAAGCCCAGGGAGGCTGGCCCAAGCAGAGGTACCTTAAACTGGTGACATCTCTTAATCTGTTAAAGACCCTCACATCAATACCAAACTCTTGGTTTAACTGCTGGACTTTCTCTAAACTGAAGTGGTAGCATCCTTTCTGTGTCTCTGAGAAGATTACTTCCATGAATGCAGATGCATATGGAATACCAGTGTTTCAGCTTTGCTATTCTTGATAGAGAAGGAAACCGTATATCTTTACTTGCTCTACACTACAGAAAGATGAAAAGACAACCAAGTGGTAATGCTAAGTGACCACATGCTGTGCAAGCAGAGCCTCAGTAGAATGTAAAAGCTGGTAAGAAATAAACCTGAAGCAATCCCGATCGTTCTCTGTGAGACCAAACTCACAAACCTCCTCACAGTGTCTTTTGACAAGCAAAATCTACTTGCCCTGTTATCACTCTCTCTCATCTCTTGTATGCTTAACATTTAAAGTAACTCCCCTAGATGCTGCACAGACCCATAAAGGCCATTATTCAGAGTAGGGTGGTACACTTAAAACACGTGTGAAAAAGCACTGTCTTTAGAAGGGCAGACACATTGCAAACAATTGCAAAATCATCATGTCTAAGCCATCAGAATTGTGTATTTTTGTCCTTTTCTACTGCCAACTTCTCTGTTTACTTACTTACTATGTGCACATGTGAAAATTGCACACAGATCCACAGGTGCAATTGTTGCTAAACTGCATTGCATACAGCTCTGTGCATGTGGGAAACTGATGGCATAGCCCAGGAAGAAAAAATCTGCAGGGAATTACTGGAGTCTACAGTGCATTTTGTCTTCCACGCCCCAGACACAGTCATTAGTGGATCCATGCATGAATGCTTATGCAGTGAATTGCATGGTAACTTGACATTACCCACACCGCAAACAGTGGGAAGCATCTTCTCAGTTAAAACATTAACCAAATTCTTCTACAGGCTTGAAAGAACTTAAGTTAAAGTGAAGTGGTTTTTTTTCTTCTTTTTTTTTCAGTGAGACATTCAGCACTTGGCTCAGATCTGATATAATGTTAAATGTATTCTGCTCTTTTGGATATAAAAAATTTGAGAATACTGAGTGTCCCTGAGGACTGGTGTTTCAAGTCTAAGGATAGTCTTTTCTTAGAGAATCATATCAGGTTACCTTAAAAACTATGGGACAAATGGCAACAATAAAAAGGGCAATAAATCACTATCACAACCAGAGGCCTATATCTCCTCAGGCAAACATCTGAACAAGACCAAACTACCAGCAGCGGAATAAAACACAAAGGGTGTGGAGTTCAGGCAATACGAAGACGTAATTTCTGCTTCATGAACGTACTTACAGAAAGAAGAAAGATTTCTGGGAAGTCAGCGTGTTTAAACAGAAAATAAACTTCAAAGGATATCATAAAAAAGGCAGGGTAAATACAGATATGGCTTTATTTTGAACTCAGTAAGGTTGATCAATAAAAATGTCTTACATGCCAATTTCGTTTTTAGTTTAAACATTACAGTTTCTTTTGTTACTTTGGGCAACATGCTGTCCTGGAGGCACTTCCCTTCCTGTTCTTTTCCTTAGACCCTGCGGCTCCACCAGGACATCAGAGTTCATCCACATGAACGAGCTGCTGGATTGGGGTTGCTTATTGCTTATCTGAGGCTGTGGAGTGATGTTTTTCGGTTATGATCAGCAAAGCTTTCCTGCTCAGTTAGGTTTGCTCAAAGTAGAAGAAACTGGAAAAAAAAAATCATTATCTCTTTTCATACTTTTCATACTACAATATCATTTTCCACCATAAGGAACCTACTTCTGATTTTTAAATTAAAAAATGCACACTTTTAGAGCAGCAGCAGAGTGTGAGTTGGCAAGTCAAGTTAGTCCCTGCTCTTCTCTGCCTTCCGATCCTGTTTCCTCTTTTAAAAGTCTCCTCACAAACCCCTCTAATGTGACATCTCAGACGTTCACCAACCAAAGAGACACAGAGGCAAAAGATACAGTTTCTATTAGCACCCACATTGTGTTAGCAAATGAGATGGTGGGGATTTCTGTAAGGAAATATGCTTTAGCAATACATACTTACAAGTCTTCCTTTTTAACCTGATAGACTTTAACTTTTCTCAAAAGACATAACTATTTCTTACTCCCAGCTTCCTTATTCTCCTGTGAGCTGAACCAGCTGACATTTATAGCTTTAACTGTTAGTGTGCCACACATGCTCTATTTTAATTCCCATGTGCACACAATGGCAAGGATTGCCATAAGAAAAAGAAAATTTAAGTCACACTTCTGGATGTCAGAGGATCTGTGGGGAGCTACCTCCCTTCCAAAATGCAAACTATTATTATTTAACAGTTCTTAACAGCAATCTTTATGTCAGGCTTTTCCATGTTTTTCAAGCAGATTAATCATTCAAACCTTCTAATACCCAGGAGAAACAAGTGTAATTTCCACATAACAGATCCCAAGAGCCCAAGAAGATAAAAAACAGAAGGCCACTCAAATCAGAGGAAAGCCATAAGCTGACACCAGGAACTTCAGAATCCAGGCTTCAGACATTGGCTTCCGTTGTCAGTCACTGCACACAGAGCTGGAAAAAGAAAGTTCCCTATTTACTTAAACCCTGTCCTTCTCTTGCAAAAATCAAACTCACTTGGAGCATGAAATGTTTCTGGAGACCGTGTCATTGTTTTGATCTGGTTAACATTTTGTGCTGTCACTTCTTATAATGCTTTTTGAACAGCATTAGCAGCAAAATGATCTGCCCCCTTTTAATTTTAAAGTAGTACAGTTGGTCAGATTCCTAGGAGCAACTTTTAGAGCCTGAGGGCATGTGGTAGCTGAAGATCTGCTACACTCATTCTTCTACATGTTGCTTCAAGCAGAGAAAATATGGCTGATAAGGCACTATGATGACAGTTACATTTTCTTCAAAGTAGTAAAGACAATGTTGAAGTTCCCAGTGGCCCCATCTCCGAAATAGAGCAAAACAGAGAGGAAAAAAAATGTAAGCATTGTTTTCCATCTCTCAAGAACTGCCAGTCACAAAAAGACAATGGATAGGCCTTAATTGCATTATGTATTTTTTGTATCTTTGTGAACGTTTTATACACTAAGTACACAGGCACACACACAGATGTCAAGACAAAAGAATGTAATTGATGCAGCCACAGAGCTGAGAAATCAAGCATTTCGAAGTCAGAAAATGCAATCTTAAAACAAAAAAACTCTCCCTGAACTCTACTCTCCTGTATTTATTCTCAGATAGGATTTTGTCATAGAAAAGAACAGGAGAAATAGCGGTGATTCCAACAGCACAAACAAGATAAAAACAGTTTTTGTGCAACTCAGCATAACATCCTCTACCAAAAACACTGTTTGGCTCTCCCAAGTCTTTAGGCTGGAGAACTTCAACTCAGCCAATTTTCTGCAACTCTGGTCACACTTGAATGCCAAAGGTCTATTAATTAAGATAGCTTTAGTTAAACCTTCTTCCTGCTGAGCTATGACACCTAATTAAATTTGACAAAGTTATTCACAACTGAGACAAGGATTTAGAAATCTAAGCTAAAGATCTCCCTGAAGTAAATAACATAATTAGCAATATCTTTCTGGCCATTCGAATGCTGATGCTCTCATAAATTAAACATCACAAATCCTACATACATCCAGTTTCCCTTTGTTTTATGTGAAATAATAATCATTAATTAATTAATTCTTCATACTGGTAACAAGAACTGACATTTTATGAAATGCTTTACAAGTTCACATATGAACAAAGTGCTAACGTAGGTTAGTAATGTAAATGAAGTAACGTTAATTCCAGCAACAAGGGATTGAAAACAATAATTCCTGCAGCGTGGCAAAAGTTGTCAGCTGGAAATGAAGAAGAGAAGACTGGGGATGCCAGGATGATGGGATACATAGTATATGCAAAAATAATTATGAATGTGATCCTGAGATGTTTCAGCCAAAACATTTCCATTAAAAATAGCGTAACATTCAAGGCAATGTGCAAAGCACTGCTGCACCTTCATCTGAAATATTTTGTATACAATTCTCATCATCCATTGTTCAAGAGGGATGAATTCAGGACGCAAAGGCAGTGCAGATGACTCACATCATCCAAAGAATGGATCAGCTACAAAACACAGGAGTACAATAGCCTCATTTTTTAACCTAGTGAAATGAAGGTCAAATAGGGATACCATATAAACATCAGAAAGCTAAAATAACTTCTTCGGCTACAGAATAATGCTGGCATTTGATTGAAATTGAAATAGAAGTGGAACTGAATACAGTTATGCCATAATTTATGTTTTTAACCAGCAAAGAAATAAAGTTCTAAAACAGACAATAGAACAAGTGGGAATAGAAACCTAACTGGTTTTACAGGGACATTTGTCTAACTTAAAGTAGGGGCTGTATGACACACTTGCCTGCAACAAGGGAGATGCAAACTTAATGATCCAGATGGCCTATTTGAACTGGACGGTCCTACATAAGAATCCTATATGGATGGTATATAACCCACAGGTTTTCAAGGGATCAGCCACCCTCAGAAATCCAGCCATCACCAATGTTTCAAGGACTGCAGCAGGAAATACTCCTGAAAATAAATCTTTATTTTACATCAAGAGCTCTGAGGCAATGTCTACTTATATTTACTATATTTCCCCCCAAAAATACTCTGGATTGCTATGGTTACATGTGCACTAGTAGTGGCTGCTGAAAGCACTTGGGGTCAAAAAGCAGAGGCAAGCTCCTGTGGCCTGGTCCCTGGGTACCACTGCCAGGCTGTGCCCGCTGGTGCAGCCTGCTGCTCCCAGTGCAGCCTGCTGCCAGCTGCCACGCACCAAGCTCTTGGAGAGCTGCGAGCCCAAAGGACAGTGCTGAAGAAGCCAGGATTTGGAAATTCTGGCTCTCCACAAGAGGACAGTTTGTTAACATAAGCTGTGGGCTCTGCAGCTTTCCAAGACCGGCACTTTGACTTCAGCCTGTTTTTCCCAATGATCATCTTCTGTGATAAAGGAGTGGTCACACGCAGAGACTGATTTCTGGTCCATTTGCAGTCCTATGAGTGCCCACGATCTAGAGAACCATGGCTACTACATACTGAAAAGCAGCTTTTCCTGCTTACAGCAGTCATCTACCATTCCTTCAGCAATCTCATTAAGCTTTGTTTTGCTTTGCTGACACCAGTGCTGCCAAAGAGATCAGCTGGCGAAGGAGACTGCATTAGTAA